CTCTTCTTGCCCATCAAATAACTCTTCTTGCCCATCAAATAACTCTTCTTGCCCATCAAATAACTTTTAATTAAGTAGGGCATTATCTTAAAGACAGTGAAGAGATTTCTATATTGGAAACATTACAGAAAGTAGTAGCTCTGGATTTGGGTATCTACTTTCACTCATTTTATAGTGTTGTTCTTCATATAAATTCTGTATCCATAGTTACCATTCAGCTCAAAGTTTTGAAAAATATTACCCTGCTGCTTTAAAGAGTCATGTTGTCTGGCTAAACTCAAAGAATTAGGAGTTAAGTAATTGCAGATGAACATCATATCTTGTTAGTCACGTATAACTCTTAAAGCACATCAGGAAGCTAGGAAAATAAAAGCACAAACATCTGCTTTTACTTCATGATGAGAAGTAAGGCTATGAAAGGCCACAGCCTACAAATGTCCATGTGGATTTTTTGAAAAGCAATAAATTTAGGAATTGTCTACATTAAATAAATGCATTGCATATTCTAATAATTTGCATATCATAACTCTAGAATTTTTGAACTATTTTTCTGAAAATCTCAATAATGTGAACAGTTTTACCTGCTTTAATACCAAAACTGTTTGGAAAATACTGATATATAAGAAATGTGATGGTGTCTCATTTTGTTTTAAATTAATAACATGAAATTATAGGTTTATTAAAGTTCTAATTAACATTGTAAGATTGGCACATTCCCAAAATGATAATTCAAATTCATATTAGTAATTTTTAAGCTATTTTTCTCCATTTGGAGAATAGAGGGTGGGACAAACCATAAACATGCACAGATGCACAATCAAATTTAATATCTAAGTGTTAGGTTCTCAAATGTATTTTTAAACAAGGAAATCATTTAAGCTAGATTAAAGTATTTTCTTTGTTCTCCAACAGTTGCTTCCACAGTACCTGCATCACTAAAGGCTTCCTCGTCAGTGGAATGGTCATAATCAGAATGTTTTAAAGCTGCATAATACACACATTGGTTTTAGGGGAAATTCTTTACAAAGGAATGTATAAGGAACAAAGTTACATTATAGGTAATCCTTGTTTAGTGACCACAATTGCTTCCAGTGACTCAGTCATCACTCAAAGCAATTGTTAAATGAAATTACTTCTCCGCACTATACTTATGATTTTATTTCAGCAATCAAAAACCTTCAGTGTGAAACTGTCCAATCTTGTCAGTTTTAGGCAGCAGCTGCAAGCAGAAGTTTCTGGCCAACCAATTAAGGTCACTGAAGTGAGTTTGTTATTTGCAGTTAGCACATTGAGGGAAGTGCCACACTTTCACTTTCACTCCTGAGAAAAGCAGCTCAGGAGCAGGATGAGGCAACACATCAGGAACAGGACAAAACTGTGATACAATACTGACTGTAACAGTGAAAACATGACCGAAAAACAGACACTGTGAAAGTCTTCAACCCAGGTATTGTTCACAAAGTTACACTGTCATTACCTTCATAATTTCAAAAAGTCACGTATGAGACAGTTGCTAAATGAGGATGGTCTGCAATATGCTTCATTTGAAAATCATGTTGTACATAGGCTATATGATCCATTTGGAGAACACATTAAGGAACAACAATATGTCTATGCTTGCAGGTAGTTTACACTAAGGAAAATGGCATTGGGATAACTGATTTCGCTATAATTGATAACTGTTAGTAATTCTGAATCAGTATTGTCTTCCTTTCCCAATTCTGCATGCCATAGCCTAGGGACATCTGAAACAATAGCAATTGGCTTCAAAATGACAACAAAACCTTTTGTAAATACAGAAACGTGGCAGAGTTATGTTTGCCTACTTGTGCCTGTCACTTTAAAGCCAATTATTGTCACTATGGGTGCTGCTACTTTGGCCCAGCCTATTCAAAATGTCACAGATATTTTACTTAATCAGAAACATGTCTACAGCTGAAAATATATATTTTAGTAAGTTTGGTACATTTTTCCATTCATATTTATATTTTCAGTAAGATAGAAGTACTTTAACTTACTACCCATGATGAAAGCAATAAATACATTTTATGAATACATGCATTAACAAACCAAGTGATTCATAAAGAACTCACCTTCCTCATCAGAAACATCCAAAATTTCAGTCATAGTCTCAGGTACGTTGAGCTTGTGCTTTTCGGTGACAGTCTGTAATGAGAAAAAAGAAAAATCATTTGTTTCTCTCTATGTTTGTCTACATCAGTAGTTCTCAACCTATGAATCGGGACCCCTTTGGGGGTCGAATGACCCTTTCACAGGGGTTGCCTAAGACCATCAGAAAATACATATTTTATGGTTGGGGTTCACCACAACATGTGGAACTGTATTAAAGGGTTGTGGCATTGGGAAGGTTGAGAACCACTGGTCTACATGATTACAGAAAGGAAGGCCGTGTTTAAATTCCACTCTTTTTTTAAATAAAAGTATTAATTGATGAGATTCCTGATTTTCAGATACTCATCTGCCTATGCATAAAGCCATGCCATAAAGGTATTCAAGTTGGCAGTAAACTTGTTCAAATATGACATTTTCATGTCAACAGTAAATTCTTTTCCTAAACAGCAACTCTTTGGATTTCATTTTAAGAATTGTTTGCAATTTCTTTTTTTTAAGTTACAGAGCAAGTATATATAAATATAAACATTATAAATATATTTATAAAAATGTTCCTCCATTTAAATACCTAGCCCCTAACATAATTTTAGTCTGTTCTTCTTAAAATTGTTCCTCCTTTATATTTTTTTTGCTTCTCTATAAATATCAACAGTCTTGTCACTACCAAGCACATGAATCATGTTTGCATCTACTATTAAAAGGACTAGATTAATTTTGGTAAATTTTTTGCAGTGTGCTCCATTGTATAAGCTTGATGAGTAGAGTACCAAATAATTTCAATATTTTAAAATACTAACAATTATAAGATGAAGAACATTTCTGTTTTTAACCCATCCACTTCTGCCTCAAATTCCTTGTTTGTACCAAAGAGACTATTATTTCTAAGCTTGATATATAATAAATCCAAACTCACTTTCATATTTGATGTAAATGTGAAAATACCCTTACTAACTAGCTACAATAACTAAATGTAATGTGGGAGATAGAATCAAAACTTTAAGGGCAATATAGAATTGCCTCTTCTTAATTAATAAATAAAATATTCAAAGTAAGCAATAAATGAAGCACTTAATACAGTACGATTTAACTGAATCTGTATTACTTTCCTGGTTACAAAACATTTGTTCACTTCTTTACAGCATGAAAATCTTTCTATAATCAGGGATACAGAAAGTACAGGTTCCTATACTGGCTGACCACAGGAACCCTTCCCAATATCAGAAAGAACAGATATAGAAAGACAACCCAAATAAGTAAATATTAAAAGCAATGCACAATTGATATGAAATTTAACTGGAAATGTTTGTAGATCTGTAGAAAAGGCATAAAATTCAAATATCACAGTGAGCTATGTTTTAGTACATTTATGAAAATGCTTAACACTTCTCTGTATGGCTATGCTGATAAGTACTGAATTACAATGGACATAATTAATTTATCTCTTTTAAAAGATACCTCAAATAAACAAAACCAGAATAAAATAATTGGAAAAACGTCTGCTGTACTCACAGTTGTAGTGGTGATTACTTCCTCTGTTACAACCTTTAATGTATCTACTACTGAGATGTATCCCAGACGCTTAGCAATTGCTAAGGCAGTGTTGCCATTCTGGAGGAGGAAAGAAGGAAAAGGAATACTGTGATATGAACCAATGAGGTCACACCCAGAAGTACATGAACCAACATTTCCATCCAAAGTAAGTCATTCACTATGGAAAAACCCTTTGCAACTTTGCTCAAACTATAGCAGCAATTGCCATGGAAACATAAACTCAGAACATCTGTCTGTGATACTGTATTTTTTAAAGTGCACACTTTTTAATAATGTAACCCAAAGCTTTCTGCACCTCATTAGATATTTTTTATTTGCTACATGTGTTCTTGTATAATTTTGACAATAAGCTTTTAATTGGCAATTATTTTGATAATAGTATTAATAGAACCCAGATGTAGCAGGAATTTAAGAGGTTCCAACTCAGAAATATTAGATCAGATATGTACAAGATGCTGCTGATGCACACCCAACAAAAGAGGGGAAAAATCAGTATATTTTAAACGTGTTTATATACATTCTCTTATTTTAAATAAAAACCAAATACACAATATTCAGACTCTAAAGTGTTTTTTTTTAACTTTAGGGGAAAAAGAACTAACTTTGTTTTAGTTGCCAATATAGTAACTTATTATAGAAGTGATAACTACTGTTTCCTATCTGTATTATTGCTTCAGCATCGTGCCCTGTTTCCTCATTGTTAATTAAGGGAAGAAATAGTAAAAATACTAGTATCACAATATTATCTAACCAATCTGAATTCCTGTAATTAATTATCTATGAATTAAAAATATATTTAATCAATGTTTATAGAATGATCAGGTAAAAGAAACCAATCAAATTTGGCTCTGCTACAGGAGAATGAGTGACAAAAATATGTCTGTAGCAATAACAATACCACTTAGACTTACATTCTGCTCCATAGAGCTTTACAGCGCTCTCTTAGCAGTTTACAAAGTCAGCATATCATCCCCAACAATTTGGGTCCTCATTTTTAACAACCTTGGAAGGATGGAAGGATGAGTCAACCTTCAGCCAATCAGGATTGAACTCCTGGTTGTGGGCAGAGTCAGCCTGCAGTGCTGTATTCTAACCATTGTGCCACCATGGCTCATGTGAGAAAGTTCTTGTTTCACTATTACCATTGCATCATGTTATGTTTTTCAGCAGCTGCATGTTTAATCATAAACTATGACGACATGCATTTATTGTATGTGTAATGATATCATTCTATAGTTTAAAGACTTCATGCGTACAATACATACCATTTGTCTTATTAAATTATTAATTATAATATATTTTAGTTGACTTGTGTGTCTTGCTATAAGTTCTCCAAGTAGTCACATCCATCCATCGGATTCTAGCTGACTAATCTAATTTACTTTCTAAGACATGTTGGAGTTCAAAATGTAAAACAAATCATTGCAAGTATATGAGTAAATACTCTAAAATCTTACCGCAGTGATTGCATTTGGCTTGGCCCCATGTTGAAGAAGAACATTGATGATGTGAGTGTGACCTTGCTGAGCAGCTTGGTGCAGAGGAGTGTATCCATTCTGAAATTAGCGGTAGTTATCATGTTTAAGAATATAAAGGGGACAAAAATCTTAAAATACAGTTATTTTAATATTCCCCTGATTTCACAGAAGTATTAATCACAGTGATGCCGGCTGTTTTCATCAGACAACAAACATCAATAACCAATTTTTTCACATAGCTAACACCTATCAAATCCCTATTAATTTTTCATAATTTAGGTTTTAAAAAAGCAATCAAATTTCATGGTAACCTAGGGTCTTTTTTATTTTATCAAAGAAAATAAAATAAAAAAGACCCTAGGTTACCATGAAATTTGATTGTGTTGGTGTTCTGTAAAATTATAAACAGTATCTCTTTTATTTGGGAATATATAACTGTTGGTGTTTTATTTGGAGGTGGGGAAGAGAGATAGGAAAACTAAAGTAAGCATTTATATGTTTTGCTCCATGTTACACATATTCTGCTTACCTACAACCCTGAAATTTTCACAGCAGTTTAGTCTTAAGCCTTCCAACAATATCCCTGTTAAATTCCCACTATAATAACATCATTGAATTTATTCTAAGTAATATTGAAAAAGATTGAAATGAGCAAATGGGGAACTGAGCAATGATAGTTTGGTGGTCGCACATTCTTTGGAGCAAATTAAACTCAAAAAACCAGAATTTTTAATTCTAATTTTCTTACGCATATAGCCAAGTATTCCCCCCTGGACTGCTTCTGAACTCCAGAAGCAACCAGTTTTACATAATACAGAGGTAAAATAATATTAATCATATATAACAAGAAATTGAAATTTTATGAATCTTGCACATTTAAAATTTAAATTAGTTAAAACTAATTAAATTACTTATATTTATTTATGGTACTTTTCTTTTACAGTCATACAGTTGTTTTCCCCATTTTTTGTAAATCTTTTCAAGCAGGCTTTTCTTTTAAGGGTTCCACACATAATACTGGTATGGAAAATTCAGAAATAAACACGTATTTCCATAGAAGCAGCTCTACAGTCCAGCATTTTATTTCTCACAATGATAACCCTGAGGTACATTCCATTCAATATGGAGGCAAACACCTTTTCTATTGTTATTCTCCTACAGGTGATATTTGAAAGCATGCTATTCCCAAACCAGAAGTAACCCTCAGTTAAGAACAATACTTTTCAAGTATACTATCTCCTTTCAAGCCATCCAGGTCAATGGTCATTACTATACTTTATAGTACAGTACAAATTGCTTATGCACTATGTTAGTGGTCCACAACTCCTGGTCTGGGAACTGGGACTAGTCCGCGGCCCATAAGGAACCGAGCCGTACAAGTAGTGGGCAAGCATGCGAAGCTCCATTTGCATATGTAGTGAGCCCATGTACAAAACCATCTCCTTCCTCCTGCCACCACCACCACTGCTGGTGTGCTAAGCTGGAAAGGTTGGGGATTGCTAGTACTATGTGAAAAGGCCTTTTTTTGTCCATTTCAAATCACCTTCAAATCAGGTTTTTAGATGGTCCTGATTTTTAGAGAAGGAGCAAATATTTTCTGTGGTGACTTTCTCTATACATTCAGAATTCCATACACCTCAGTCACTCTCCCACCCCCACTTTCACCCCCCCCAACTCAAACATTCTAATCCTTTTTTTTCATACAGAAGATGTTCAAGGGCTCTGATCATTTTGGCTGGTCTTTTCGGCACTTTCCCCAGTTATGTTATAATTTTTTTCAAAGTGTAGCAGCCAGATCTGTACCTAGTACTTTACAGCCAGATTGTTGTAGATTTGTATAATGGCATTATATTTGGATTTTTATGATTCATTCCTTTCCTAGGGATCCCTACATAACATATGCCTTTTTCACAGTGCTGTTTACTTCCTTCTGCACTATGATGCCTAGATCTTTTTCTGTCATTAATATGTATTATCTGAGGAACTATCTCACCCATGTTGTCCCACCCACAGAAGAGGCATTCTGTGGACCCCATCAGTCAAGGAATTTCAACTGGCAGCGTGCAGGAGAAAAGCCTTTTCTGCCATGGATCCTGCCCTCTGGAACATTATGCCCCCATGATGAGATCTGCACTCTTCTTTCTGGTCTTCTGAAAGAGCTGACGACCTCCCTTGGACAATTGGCTTGAGGCCCTAATTGGCCTGGGACCCTGGTCCATACTTCAGGTGGTTAGTGGACTGAAATAAGACTTTGCCTTCTCCTCTATGCACCTTGCCGTATTTTTAATTCAATTTGAGTATTAGTATTTATTACTTTAATGCTTTATCTTGTTGTTTGTATGGGTTGTAAGCTACCTAGAATCACCCCAAGGTGAGATCGGCATCATATAATCTTAATTAATTAATAAATATGAAAGTAGACGTTACAGGATGCACTACCACTTTACACTTATTAATTTAAAATAAGTATAACACTGTGCCATTTGGATTATCATTCATAACTTTTATTTTTAATTGAATATTTTTAGAATAGCTTTCCTCAGACTGATGCTAATGAAATGCATTAGCACTGTCATTTAGAGAATTCCAAAGTTACAGAATTCCATGGCCACAATGCTAATGATTGGCTATGCATTATTATCGGTACATAGTCAAATACATTATTAATGTTGCATTATTCATAGAACACTGTACTGAAACATTGACTTCTTCTTTCATATATTGCAAATTTCTTGCAAATATATAAATTTCTTAAATATAAATTAATATTGTGGTTGTTTGTAAATGAGAATGGAAGGAAACAATATACATTTACCTTTGTCTTAGCATTGACATTAGCTCCTTGCTTCAGAAGGAAGTTCACCATCTTGATGTTTCCATAGTGACAAGCCACAATTAGTGGAGTGTAACCCAGCTAAATGAAAAGGACCCCCCAAAAGCGTAAGTAGAGAATGTGACAAGGCATTGGAAAGTTATTTTATTGTCTTGGAAGTTACTATTTCTTATACCTTAGTCTGAGCATCTTTGTTTGCTCCATGCTTTATCAGCATATCAGCTACATTTACTTTATCTTCTTGAGCTGCTAAATGTAAAGATGTCAGTCCGCTCTGAAAATTAACAACATAAGTATTTTAGTAATACAAATGAATATAAAGAATTTTTTACACTGTAAAAATTAAAGATATCCCCCTGAATACCACAATTGCCTCATGGAACTCACACCTATCAAAGGCTGTAATGTAGGATGATATTCCTAAATATGTCATCTCAGAGTTAGCCTAATGAAATTCATTATTCAAATAATTTCTTTCTAACAATTATCATGAAATATTCAGACTGTCAACTCATTCATAGTGTCTTTCCAATTCTTGTTATATATTGGAGAACACAAAGGTTATAGCTATGAACAAGACAAGAGAGGGAGGGAGGAAATAAAATGGTATTATAAAAGAATTGAATACCAGGGATAGTGGCCTCATACATATGCTGGAGAAAAAAGGCAGAAAAAAATGAAATATTCTACAAGTGAATAAAATTGGGGTAAAATTTTGCGCTCTCTCTACTTCAGCATGGAAACTGCAAAATGATCTAAAAGATTTAACTGCAATTTCCAATTAACACTTAAGCAGACCAACACAAACCTCTATGAATATATTATCTACTATTGATATTATCTCCTATTTAAATAGATTTTAAAAAATCAAATCCCACTAATATGGATTTTGTGATTTTAGATAAGATATTAGCCAAATATATTTTTACACATTTTCCTGTTTTTAATTCTCTAATATTACTTAATATTTTGTACTGATTTGTTGAACACTTACATCATTTTCAAAATCCCAGTTCAAAAATTCATTCTTAATAGAAGGAGGGCATTACCTTTGTGGCCACATGAATATTGGCTCCCTTCTCCAGAAGTAAATTCACCATGTCAGAATGACCTTCTTGAGAGGCCAAGTGAAGTGGAGTCACTCCTTGTTTGGTCAAAATGTTGGTCTCTGCTCCATAATTTAGCAGGGTTGTGGCTATCTGCATCTGATTCTTCTTAGCAGCAATGTGTAGAGGAGTATACCCATTCTAAAACCAATTGCCTTGTATTAATATAGGTTTTAATTTCCTTTTCTTTCATAATAGCACTTAAACTTATATATCACTTCACAGTGCTTTACAGCCCTCTCTAAGCGCTTTACAGTGTCAGCATATTTGCCCTCAACAATCTGGGTCCTCATTTTACTAACCTCGGAAGGATGGAAGGCTGAGTCAACCTTGAGCCGGTCAGGATTGAACTCCTGGAGTGAGCAGTGAGTTAGCCCTGCAGTACTGCATTCTAACCACTGCGCCACAGAGAATAGCCATTATTTTCCGTAGCTTTCACATAAATAATAATATTAGCCATAGTTTCTTGCATGAAATTGCAGTTGCAATCCAGGTAAGGCGTATCTTGGCACTGATCTTTCAAATGTCCAATTTTAATTATAGAACACATAACC